CAGATTTTGGGACCAGAGGCTAGCACTGAACTGAGAGGACCTAATTCTCTGCGCAGTCAGCAGTAAAATCATCGTATTCTATAACGAAATTTCTCCCAGAAGCTGCGAGTTGTGCCCAGTGCGCATATAAATTCTATTCTGTGTGAAATGTTAGAGTTCCTCAAATAAGTTTAAGTGACTAAATGTCTCTGGTACCTCATGGAAAACAGTCACCAGGCATTGGACCTGTGCTGTAAAGACTCTCCTCATTAAATGAGGTGTAGCTATGTGACCTAAAGGGTGGCTGTGCTCATAGCATCTTATGTTGTCAACTGTCTTCATGTTTCACATTGATAAGCAAGACTCATTTGAGAAGCTAATGCAGGGCTAATCTTACAATACCTCACATTTCCTTATATCCCAGGTCCTTTCAGGAACTAATACATCTTCAGCACTCTGCCATCTTGATAGATTATCTTTCCTACTTTGTGAGCAAGGATGAAATCACATAATGCTTGGTCCGTCAGCATAGCCTGGTAAAGTTAACCTTTACTAAACAAAAAAGCCTGGCTGTATGGGTAGGGTTGTAGTTATGGCAGGCACCTACTTCTCTGTTGCAGAGTACAAGCCTTCTAGGCAGAAATTAGTAGAGAAGATTAAATGCCATTTTCTTTCAGGTCAGCATGATGGTGTGACACCAGTACCAGAACACAGATCTCTGTGCTGTTACTGAGAGCTTTTCAGGTGATAAAGGAAGATTAAGCTAGCAAGAAGTCTCAATGCAGGTGGGCAGGATATCCTATCATAGTGATATCTGTCAAGGGAATTGATTAAATTTACTTCAGACAGGTTTGGTACAGTTCATCAACTGAAATTTTATCTGTGATTATGGAATCTTGTATGTTTATGTGTCATCAAACTAAGCTGCATTTTGTTTTTCTTAAATGTTATGTCATATGTCAAAGTTTAAATTATTCCAAGCTCTAAGGAAAGAAGAACTGAGGCTGAATAAATGAACAGGAAAACCTGCAAAAGACAAAATCTTTAAATAAATGTTTCAGACAAGATTTAGGTTGCTCTTCTGTGACTGACCTGACTTTTTTTAATGGATCCACATAGATGCCCTACCCATGTACTCTACGAAAGGCTTGAAACAAAAAGTTCCTGTTATGTACTGAATGTTTGCCGTAACATGAATTTCACCCAGAATTAATTACAGGTCAAGACAGGCAAGTGCTAGTAGTACTAGGAAGGCAATTAAAGGAATACTTGTGCAGAAGCTTCTGTAAAATCAGAAGCTTTTATATTGCACTTTTAGAGAAGTCTGATATATCCATTCAGTCCAAAAAGAATTGATTTATCTGGCTTACTGTGGAAGTGAAACATTACTTAGATAATTTGAAAACAATTATATGCTCTTATATTACTTGGCTAACACAAGATATTATGCAACTAATTTTTTTTTCCTGCTTCGTAGCTGTAATAACATAAATATTCTAGCATGCGTATCATCTGGGATTTTTCATTATAATAGTTTTGTTTCCTTTAATACAGAACTTTTGTGTTTCATATGATTGTAAGTGTAGAGCAACAAGGAAAACTATTATGGGATGTGTGTAGTTCTGTAAAGACTAACTCTTAGTCACAGATTTAGGAACTATAGATTCCTAGTTACCAGGTCAGCTATCAGCTTTTAGTGTGCCATCATACCTAATGATCCCTTCTTTCTGATTACTACTGTAAGAGCAAAAGTTGCATGTTAATGGCAGCAACATACAAGAGGTGTATGTTAATTCCTGACTGAATTTTCAGTTACAGCTGAAATCTTGGTTTTGAGAACTCTGGAGTTTTGCTGCAGAGCTGAGACTTGAAAGGTGCATGACCCAGGAGGACCACGTCTTAACAGGCAAAGTTGTGGAATCTGTTGGGAAAATGTGGGCAAATTTAGAGACTAGTGTTAAGCCCAAAATAAAATCGTGTAAATGCCTTCCTTTGTACCAGTCATCTCTCCTTGCATTTTTAGTATGTATATTTTAAATTAAGAGTACAGGGTTGAACTTCTAAGAAAACTTGGGTTAAAAATACAGTCACAATATAGTCATAAAAAACTAATCTTTCCTGGACCCATCTGTGACTGACAGGTGACTTCTGAGCCAGCTGAGTGCTGTGAATGCTTCCAGCCTGATAGCAGATGGTGCAGTCTATGAAGGCCACTTTGGTCTTCAACAAAGCTACTGTTATTAATGGAATGAATGTGAAAGCTCTTTTGCAGAACAATGTAATTCGTGTAACAGAAATTTAGTGCACGTAGTCTGTTGAAATATGTGCCGTATTTAGTTCTGTATGAAGAGGAATATCTGTATGGTATAACCAGCTTTCTTAATTCTGTGGCTGTGCTTGTGCAGATGTAGTTGTTTCGTGTCAAGCCTGGCAGACGGCAGAACTGATCCCCGGTCGCCCTCAGGCTCCTGAGACGTTTCTGCTGCTCGTGGGCCGCTTGTTTTTTTGCTGTACTGCATACCGTGGCCACAAGAGGGCAGAGACACCTAACATTGTGCACAGCCACCAGTTACGGTACTCTGTTCGCAGTGTGGTGTCGCTGGCAGCAGTGTCTTAGTTCAGCTCTGTTGGGGAGCTTGCAGCATCTAGCTAGATTAAGTACGATGGTGCATGCTCTTGGTGAAAAGTTAATTGTTACCTGTATCTGTGGTAATGAATCGTGGTAATTAGAATAAGATGTAATTCTTTTGTGTTTTGTGTTATTTTCTACTTACATGTTTAAAGATTAGCATATACTTATTACAGTAAGGCAGGGAAACTACCTCTGGGTATCCTAAGTTGGTTTGTCATGCATAGCTGTTTTACATGGTGTTGGGATGTTGACCTAAACCTACAGATTTGTTGCTGTCTTGCTTCCCTTCTGCCTGGTTTTCTATTTGCACTTTCGTAGCTTCAACTTTCTTGGCAAGGGGGAGGCATTCTCCTAATAGTCCATTATATAGTTTATTGTTTCTGCCTCCTATTGTACTGAATAAGTGATAATGACTGGTTAGTAACTTCTCCCTTAGAATGCTAATGAATATTTGACAGAGACAGCTAGCTCATAAAAAGGAAAAGCTTTCAAACTAACAGGATGGCATTACGGACAATTACTTATGGTTTGATGATTGCATGGTGGATTTAGAGTTTTGCTCTAGTCTGTAGCTCTGGATTCTGTTCTGGCTTTTCTATTAACTTAGAATGTGTGCTTGGACAAGTCACTTTATCATTTTTAATCTTCATTATGCTACATGTGAAATTTTACAGTGCTGCCCAGGGTTATTAAATAATGTAGTGTCTACTGTGGAATGTTTTGACAAAGGAAATCACAGAATCCAGAATGGTAGGGGTTGGAAGGGACCTCTGTGGGTCATCTAGCCCCCCCCCCCTGCCGAAGCAGGGTCACCTACAGCAGGCTGCACAGGACCTTGTCCAGGCGGGTCTTGAATATCTCCAGAGAAGGAGACTCCACAACCTCCCTGGGCAGCCTGTGCCAGGGCTCCGTCACCCTCAGAGGGAAGAAGTTCTTCCTCATGTTCAGACGGAACTTCCTATGCTTCGGTTTGTGCCCAATTCTTGAGCCTAAAACATAACAGGATTTTAAAAGGAGTGGGACAGTTGTATGGGAAGCAGAAGCACCCAGGAATGAAACAGTTACTGATAAAATAAGAAATTTTTGTTGATTTTGTTTTTGGGTTTAAGCCTGTCTCTGGCTGTAGGGAATTGCAAGGATTGTACATGGAGAGACAGCAACCCTACAGCCTCATGATACAGAAATTTTCTCTGAAGCATTCATTGTTTGTCACTAACTATGTGATCATATTCTTGCACTGATTTGTAATGAAGCACCTTGGGATTGATGGGTCTTTGAAACTTGAACTGAAACAAGCAATCCTGAGCTAAACCTGAAAGGCGGTGCTAACATAAGAAGTGATGAACTATACACCTAAAAGATTCACTTATTCTGTTGGCATTCAGTAAACAAAAAGAGGTGAATTATGGTTTTCTTCTTCTGTTCTGTGATCAGCGCTCGTTTTCAGTCTGATATAGTAAGTGACACCTACTCAGTGGTCCTTAGCTATGGTAAATTACACTAAATAATATATGCAGATGCTTTTATTTTTCCTTCTAGATCTTGTAATTTAATAAATGATCTGTCCATTAAAGATGTTACTACTTTTTTTTTTTTCCTGGCATTTGCCGCATGTGCAAGATGAGGAGTAATGCTCGTGGAGCTGTTTGCATTTTTTCTCTGGGAAGACAAGCCGGCTTATTCATGTGTCAGCAGTGTCCCCTGGCAGCTAAAAGGGCCGACCCTGTTCTGGTGTGCATCAAGCACAGCACAGCTAGCTGCTCAAGGGAGGAGATTGTCTCACTCTGTACTGCACATGTGTGGTCCCACCTCAAGCATTCTGTACGGTTTGGGACATTTGGGTGCCTCAACGTAAGAAGGACACCAAACTATGGGATTGTGTCCAGAGGAGGGCGACCAAGATGCTGAAAGGTCTTGAGGGCAAGACTTACGTGTGGCATGGCTGAGGTCACTTGGTTTGTTCAGCTTGGAGACTACCAGGCTGAGGAGTGACCCCATCGCAGTCTACACCTTCCTCAAGCGGGGCAGTGGAGGAGGAGGTGCTGATCTCCTCTCTCTGGTGACCAGCAACAGGACACGGGGAAATGGAATGAAGCTGCGTCAGGGGAAGTTCAGATTGGACATTAGGAAACGGTTCTTCACTGAGAGGGTGGTCGGTCCTTGGAACAGGCTCCCCGGGGAAGTGGTCACCGCATGAAGCCTGTCAGGGCTCAAGGAGCATCTGGATGACTCATTTAGTAATATGGTTTAGTTTTAAGCAGTCCTGTGAGGAGCAGGGAGTTGGACTCAATGATCCTTATGGGTCCCTTCCAACTTCAGATATTTTATGCTTCTATGTGTTCTTTTTACACAGTCCAAACTAGAATATTTTTCCATTTCTGCGTTTCAGGTGCCTTCTCTGGAGCTAGAGAAAGCTGGGAGTATGATTCAGGAGCCAGAGACCTTCAGAGTCCGGAACTCCAGAGTCATTTTACGCTACAAAAGTTGTTGGAGTATGGTGGAAGCAATGTGACTCAACAGGCTGCTCTGCAAAGACTTCTAGCTCAGACCTCAAATTTTAGCAACTCTGTTGGAGGAAGCTACTTAGAACTTGCCAACACTGTAAGTGCATTTTGCTTCTGCTTTTAAGTTTTGTACAAATTTTTTCCTTTCTTTTTTTTTCAAAGAAGCATATTAATTCCTTGAAGAATTAAGGAGGCCTTAGAGCCTCCGAGCCTTCATGGAAACAGTGCCACGCTGCTGTTGCCTTTCACTTACAAGAAAAACAATGTGATTTTAGCAGTTTGTAGGTATAGAGTATTTCCAAAGCTTGTATAACTGAGTTTCATCAAAAAGGGTATGAGTCTGTGAGGAGCCAAACTGAAGTTCTTAATTTATACAATTTTACCAGAAGAAGAGTTGTGTCTGAAAACTTCCTGCCATTGATTTTTTTAAATATGGTATCGGATTGTTCAGAAATATTGTGCAGAAAAATTCTTCCTGTGTTATTTCATTACTGCCCACTAAATTTTTGATAATTGTTTGAAAACTTTGGTGTGCTAGCACTGTCCCTTTTTATTTCTACAGGCATGAACTATTCTCTGTTGTAAAAAAACACGTAATTGTTGAAGAAGTAGGGCATTATTTTTCGCTTCCACACCAGTGTATTAGGATCAAGTTTGTGTTCCAGTTTTAAGTCAGGTGTGTTATAAAAGACCATCCGTTGTGTAGCATGTTTCTGATTTATGTTGCACAGGACTTTACATGGAGAAGTGAAAGATGCTAAAATGAAAGTGGAAAGTTTCTCATTTTTAAAATGACTGTTTATTGGCATGCTTGACTTAAATTAAATAGACTCCTACTTCATGGTATCGTAGGATAATTCAAGCTGTAAAAGAACCTCAGGAGGTCTTCTAGTCCAACAGCCTGCTCACAACTTAACACTAGTTGAAATGATTGCTGGCAACAGAGGAAAATCAACTTCTTTAATCTGCATTATTTGAAAAGAAAATTGTGAAAACTATTCTGAAAGTGTTTTCAAAAGCCTTCTAAATTTTATTTAAGTTCTTGAGCATGAGCTAATATAGGATCTAAAGTTTCCATACACAGAATAAAAATATGTAGATATTAAAATTTATCTAAGAGAGAGAAGAGTTCAAGGAATTTGACAGTTCCTTAAAGGAACTGTGTCCTCATTTTCCCTAGGAAGGATAGTAAGCGATCAGCTGCGATAAATCATAAACTCTTTAATCTTCAAAACTGAACAGAAGCATCTGGAAGCTGGAAATGCAGGACTTCGGAAACTATAGGCTGGTTAGCAGCTTTGTTTGTATGTTCCAGTAGTTTTCTGAAGGTGTGAGCAATTTTAAGGGAGTAAGAGAGAACATGCAGACTTGTAAAAGAACAATCAAGTCCACCCAACCTAGTACCTCCTTTAACGGAATAGTAGACTTTGGAGATGGAAGAGAAACAGTAGATGTCATGTTTCTCCAGTAAGACATCTGACGGTGCCTTGAGTAATGTTGTCATCATCAAGGCAACAAACATCATCTAAATTTAACTACTAATAGGTGGATATTGAACTGGTTTGAAAATTGCGAGGCACTGTTTTTTCGAATGTGTCCTGAGCTCCATTCTGTCCTGTGTACTCTGACTTGTACAAAGACACTGCCAAACTGAAATCAAAGTAACACTGGTAAAACAAGTGCTTCCCCACACTGAAAACTGCTCTCACAATAATCCATTAAAAAGGTGCAAGTCTAGGTCTAAGGAAGATAGTGAGTGAATCAACATACAATTTCCTGTTTAGTTATACTTGTTCCATAGCCTTGGCTGATTTGTTTAAAAAATTGCCATTTTGAAAAGACATGAGCTGTTTCACATTTGGTTATTTTAAAGGATGTAGAATGTACTTCTAACAGAAGTTTAAGTGGAGCTGCTTAAGACCAACATAGCTGTGCAAAAAGAGGGGCTTGCATACTTTTGTATCTAGATTAAGAACTGTGAGTTGCTGTGTCTTTTTTGGATCTGGAGTTCATTCAGATTTCAAGGTGGGTATGTATTAATAAGTCCTCTGTCTATGCTTCTTGCTGATGATTCAGAAATTATAGGCTTTGCTAACCTGTTGCACATTTGCAAATATGAAGACATAGGTGTGCAGTGTTACTGAAGAATGCACAGTGTGAAGGCTACTGCATTGCCATGACCTGTAGAAAACTTAAAAATAAAAATGCTGAAGGCTTATAAGAAATAAAGTCCCCAGGTATTATGGCTTTCTTTTTATTCCCATCTCTAAATTCCTTCTGTGCTTACTGTCATGAAAGATGCCTGATCGTTGTTCTAACTAGCTTCTGTTACGCTTCTGCTTTTAAATATTCTTTCCGTGTTCTTTCAAACCATAGTAGAATCAGCAGTCTCTCATTTATATGTGGATGAATACAAGAACATCTCCATTTGACTCCTGCAGAGCACTGGTGTCATGGGTCATATGTAAATTTTTGCTTTGGCGTTATTAAAATGGCGAGCGAAAGGAATGGGAAATAATTGAGAGAATGGTTTACTTTGTTTTTCACTATTTATATTTATTCCCTTTGCACAATTTTTAATACTGAGGGCCATGCTTACTGCAGTCTAAATTTATACTGTTTAAAGAGGTAAACATAGCCTTTGTAGAGCTGTGATTTAATATGGGTACTTCCTTGTCTGTCTCTTTCTCAGATTGTTTTACCTAACTGCATTTGACACAGTGACAAGCCGAGCTGCTCCCTTGCATTCATTCTCAGAAATGACAGATCTCAGCTTTCACATTTTTATGGGTTGAATCCAGGGAACTTTTCCAGTTGTACACGAGGAGCTGGGCAGATGCCTTTATACTGTAACCAGGGTTACTTAAAAAAAAAACAAACAAAAACTGAGGGAGGTTTAATATCTGCATTTCCTACCCTCAGGATTTGATTGTATCCCATTTTGTAAAGCTGTGTAATAGAAAGACAAAGGTATAAAAACTGACTCTGTGGACACTTCTCTCTGGAACTCTAAATGGTCCAAAAGTTAACTGGAGAGGTTTATCTTTTTTAGAATGCTTACAAAAAAGCAGAGCAGAGCCTTGCTGTGTCATCCTGCTCCTGGATGAACAGTTCCTGGTAGCTTCTCCCAAATGCATCTACACAGACCATATGGACACACTGTTGAAAGGAATGGTTTTTACATTTCTTTGTAGATATTTAGACTTTAGACTCAGAGGTCTAACAAAGTAACTACTGTATGGGTGAGCATAAATCATTTAGGTGCTTTCTGGTTAGATGTCATCTGATTGTTTTTCTCTCAGCACCTTGAAGTGATTTTCCCTATTGGAGTGTCAATTCTTGTTACTTAATTTCCTGGTTTTCTTTCTGACGGCATTCTTTTGATTTTAAACTGTGCAGTCAGTCTAAAGACATCCCTGTGGTGATTATGTACTTCTACAGCATAGGTTATACTCCTCAGTCAAGACAGAGGGTCTCCACACTGCCATTAACATTTAAGTTTTCCATTTTCAAAAGCTAAATGAACATCAGTCCCCTATCACTTTGCTTAGTTTTTATAAAATTAATTTTTAATGCCTTTTTAAAATCCTGTGAATGTACAGCCATACAGGGCTTTGTAAAACCATAATACCTGCTCTAAAGCATTATTTCTACTCCTTCACATGAGCAATGCAATTTTTAAGTGCTGTTTGAAATTTAACCATTCATACTCATTGCATGTGTTTTTATATGTTCATTTCACATCCTTTTGCTATGTTTTGGTTTATTAACACATGTTCAGATTCAGCTTTTGTTCTACCTGAATAATTTGTTCTGTAGTTTTATAAGGTTTTACACCTACATATTAAGAATGCATTTCTCTCTATAGCTCTTCACCTTGGTACCAATATTTATGACTAACATACTAACCTTTAACGTGACCTGTCACCACTTACTGATGATGTAACTGTTCATGCCAGTAGGTTAAATACTACAACAAATATCTCTGATAGGAACCCTTGTATGTGTTCCAAATGTACTCATTTATGAGCTTGTTTTGTATTGCATTGGGATGTAAATAATTTAAATATTCTTCATGGGTAGAAAAGAATTCAAGTGTTTCAAAGGATTTCTTTGTGCGTGTGCATGTTTGGGAGTTGTTTTTTGCTTGTACTTGAATCTTCAAAGTTGGACAAGGATCACTAATGGGAATAGTCATATAACTGTAGTGAAACAGCTGATTCATGTGGTGTCACATCTGTTCACTTCCCAGGCGGCCGTGCGATCTTGATGTGTTCCCTGTGGTGCTATTATGAGGGATAGCACTCTGTTGTAGGAGCTGAAGTATTGCTGTTCTCAGGAAATATCACACGGTGCAGTATCTTGATGTGATAGGCATATTTCACATTAGAATTCCAGTGAAGTGCAAGAACCTGAAGCAGTAAGATTTGGATGTGTTTAATTCTCTTTTCTTATTCTTCTTGCACGTGATTAGAATAGACTAGATTTACGTGATCTTTTTGTAGTAGAATGTGTGCACATAAATGCTAATACATGTCTGTGTGCTTACTGTTAGTTTCTGTTGCCTTAATTCAGTATTGTTTAAAGATGAACATATTTGTTGTCACAAGTAGCTACATTTATAAAAGTAAAACCAATTTGGATTGTTTCGTTCGCCGTGATGATATGATCTCATATCTTTTAGCTGTAAATAACTCTGGTTTGCTAAGCAAGTCTCTGCACAAAGATCTTACATTTTTTAAATTTGACCCAATTTATTTATAAATGTGGGTTTTTTGACTATCCATACCCTGGACTGGTGTGGTCCAGGATCCTTGAATCTCTGTTTTTTGCTTCCAAAGACACTTCAGCTATATTGGAAGCTCTTTGACTGCACCTTCCTTGCCAGAGCTCTTTTGTTTGAAAACATTTAGAAAGACTTGATGAGGGTATGGTTGACTTGCAGAGGGGAAGAGTACAGCTATATTTTTGAGAATAGTGTGTGGTAGGATTTCTTCACGACCGTGTACTTTTAGAAGCTCATGTTGCTATTTGCTCCTCAGAGCAGTCATGGAAGTGCCACAGATGCGGCTGTTCTTACTGACTCACAGAGAAGGG